GGAGATTTAACGCTCCAGATAATCTTGGAAACAAAAAATTGCCGCTTGGTGGAACCGTTGCGTCTATGGCTCTCTAAAATTTTTTCGCGACAAAAAATCTCGACCGCCGTCGTGAAACAGTACGCCGACGTCGTGTCCGAACTGTCCAGCTGCGACAACGACTCCACGACGACGACTGCGGCGGTCGCTACGACCTGCGAATGCAAACTTCTCAGTGAATACACGTCCACCTCAATATGCTGTAGACAGTGCAACGACAAGGTCGATCGAGCTATGCAGCCTTTCGCGCGACAATTTTGGAAAATGTACTGGAGCACCATCGCCATGCTGTTTGCTACAAAGACACCCTACATTTACACTCCAAAGACAAAGATAGACATCCAACCCAAAGTCGTTACCGTTAAAAGGGAGGGTAGCGAGAGCAGCACGGAATCCACGGGTTGTTGCATTCAACACCCCAAGACAAGCACACCGGGTATCACCAAGAAGGGCAACTTTGCAAGAACACTCAAGTGGAAGGGTTTGAAATAAAACAATTTTATTGTTTTCGTCCCATGGCTCGTTTACAGTCTTCTTCCAATTCCGACAGAGTCTTGGAACCGAACGTTAGGTTTTCTAGAAATTGATCGTACCTTTTGCGCAAGACGGTCCTCTTGTGTCCTAGCCGACTACAAATGTTTGAAAAAGAGCTCTCTGAGCGTAGCGTAGATTTGCATTCTATCGAAACACCAATCCTGCGTATGCCGGACGTTCGATGCCGTAGCTCTATATCCGATCGTAGGAAATCGCCATCGCATTGCGTGCTCGGTTCGACGCATTCTTCGGGCATTGCACACACGGCATCTGTCAATCTGTCGGAACAGTCCACCAATTCCCTGTCCTCGTCCTCGTAGATTTCCACGTCGCCTGTTGTTGCGGTCTTGTTGCAGCAGTCGATGCACAAGATGGTTCTCTCCCCTCTTTTCATTGTCGGACGCCGACGCTTTGGGTAGAACATGTCGCGAATGTCTTCCAGCGACGACTTCTTTTTTGTCATCGTAGAGGTTGATCTTACGCTCCCGCACTTTTCGCACAAACAGAGAGTCGTTATAGGCAAAGTTCTTGTACATGTGCACCATGGGGTGCAGGGTCTTAGTCCCACGTAATTTGCACAGAATGTCGGCGACAAAGCGACTGGAGCCGCACTGGACGGTGATGGTGTCAGACTCGAACAGAGCAAAGTGAAGCTTGACCTTGCTCCGAGGGTTATTGACTGACCAGATACGAAAGAAGTACTCCGGATCAAAGACGCACATGCATCTGCGTGACGCTTCGTCGGAGGCGAAAAACGAGATTCCCTTGCCTAGATCTAGGTCCGCTTCCAAGACTCGGACCACGTACCAAGGTCGCGTTTTATCCGTCGCCTCCACCAATCGCCTGTCCAGCCGTCGTCTAGTTTCGTAGACCTTCCGGTCAATCACGTCTACGGTCAGACGAGTGTAGTTTAGGAAGGAGTCGATGTTGTCTGAGAGGTTACAGGCGCGCACAAATGCTTTGCACAGGTCGTCTTGCGTCTCGATGTCGTTGTTGTTGAGTTCATCGCAGAGATTTACGACGCAGTCGTCGTCGATGCGATCAAAGACCTTGTCGTAGCTCTTGCACTCATTAACGACTCGCAAAATCTGGGAATCCACGCAGCCATTGTCCGGGATGCGAGTCTTGTTGTAGAGGCAGACGTTGCGTCTATCCACCCCCAAGTACATCATCGTTCTAAGCTATCTCCGATCGGTCTCTACATATATACGCGGAGGAGAGAGTTATCTACGGAAGCCGTGTATAGATACCCATATTTCCCTGTAGAGTTGACCCATGAGAAATTCCTCCACGATTATTTGATTGGCGTTTCTATAACACTGCATCTTTTTTGCGTCGTAGGACAAGGCGACTCTGTGGTGGCAGTAGGCCTCGTTGTACGTGGGGAGCGGCATGCCGTACAAGAGGGCTCGTCGCCCGTAAATATCGTACAGGCGATCGTAGTCCTCATCGCTCGGCAACTTCATGTCCATCCGAAACAACTTACAAATCATCTGCATCTCTACGTTCTCTACGAAACACTTGTACTTTTTGTCGGTCTTGTACAATTTGGCCCACACGTGCTTTTGAACGTCGGGCACGTCCAAGTATTCGCGAAATATCCCCTGTGCGTCCGGAGCGTATCTTGGGATGCGAGACGAGGCAGCTTTCCCTATGGTCTGTGCGTCTAAGAAACACCACTTTGAAAAGGAGTTGCGGTTGGCTCGCGTGATGCGAACGATTTCGGTTCCATCGTCCGGATGATAGCCGCGTTCTCTGTACGGCACGAAAGGAGCGCAACTGATTGTCTTACAGCCGGCCTCGGTAAAGACGTGTCTCCCGTTTGGACAGTCGAGTCCTGGCGGACATGGGTATGAAGTGGGCGTGTCTTCCCACGTAACGTTCCCTTCTCCAAAAAAACTAAAAAAATCGTCCCTCCTCTCGGTTCGCAATTTTTTCAAATATTTTTGCATCGCGTATAAATAGGCGTTTGCGTTATCTATCATGGTTGGAGGAGCCATCGCAAGAAAAACCTACCGCGTAGATTTTTTGATTTAGTATTCTCCAAGATAGAGAATATGGATTCCGTTCGCATGTGGATAGGCCACGCCAAACTGCTCGTTGCACTTATGTTCTCATCCGGAATGGAGCCTATGATAAACCAAGTGGAAGTCTTGGAAAAACAGATTAGAGATCCGTGCAAGGTCAAGAAGGCTCTGATTTATTACATCAGCTACGTGCACAATGCCATTCGGCTCCTCTCTTCCCGATTCGAAGACGGCGAAAATCCGAATAGAATAGCCGAGAGTTTTTCGGAGCAACAGGCGTACGAAGACGTGATGCGAGACCTGGCCGGAGACGAAAGCTACACGCTGTACGACGAGCCGGACGAACAAGTGCGCAACTACGTGCTTCGAGCCATCGAGAGCGTCGCTTACTGAAGACCACCACCTACAGCGCCGCCGGCAGCAGCTTGTTCCTGTTCTACCCGCTGCCGCTCCGCTTCGGCCTGTCTGTCGCGTACATATCTCGTCAAATCCGCAACGATACTGTTGTACTTCTCCTGTTGCCGTTTCGTCGTGCTGAAAATGAACTCGTAGTTTAGAGCAATGTCGCTCAATTGACGCTCTGTCTCTTTCAAATAAAGATTCTTTTCTTCGATAGACTTGCGTCTCTGAGTAATGGTAGCGTTGCGCATGTTTATGTCGGCCTCGACTTCGTCGGAGTATTCTCGGGACTGCAGAGACTTTAGTTGCGCGAACGTATCTCGGATTATCTCGTTGTCGGCTTCGATTAACTTTTGCGTTTCTTTCACGGACGCGTAAAGAAGATTGTGCCTTTGGGACAATCGACCCAAAATGATCGTGTAAGTGTTGATTCCGAGAATGTTTCGCAGTTCCTGTACGTCGGCAAACGTTCTAACATTGACGTTTTGACGCGCGAGTTCCGCTAATATTTCGTTCGGTAACAGCGTGTCTGGCGGGATATCACCAAAGTCGGCCGGGAGAGGCAGTAATCGCATGGAGGTCGTACTAGGTAGCGGGACAATATTCATGACGTGTTTCTTGATGGTTGGCGCGCTGTCGAAGGCGTCGTAGGATTCGAGCGTTGGATCCTCCACGGTACTGCTTATTTCGTTTACCTGAGGCGTAAACATCCTCAGCACCGTTCGTCTTTGTTGCTGCGGGACTGGAGCAGCGCCGCCCGCTGCCTCCGGTTGTGGTTGCTCTACGACGCCTCTAGGAGGATAATAATTTTGCTCGCTCTCTAAACGAAGGGCGTCTGCGTCGTCTTGGTTGAGTTCCACATTGGTGAGCAGTGCATCCAATTCGCGACGAGCGGCGAGATCTTCATCAGATATGACGTGACGTATGGGCTCGACGTCTTGTACTTGGCTTTTAATTTTTCTATAACCGTAATACTTCAAGTCTTGAGCAACTTTCACAAATACGTTGTAGGCCGCTTTGTTGCGCGCGGTAGTCGGCATGGTCGCGAATACGTCGTATACGCGCGCTATCAGAGCCGATGGATTCCCGTGCTCTTGAATAATCTTCTTAATTTCCTGAGTCGTTTTAGCGTCGCTGTTGCGTACAAACTTGTAACACTTTTCCACAATTTCGTCTGCCAACAGGTTGACGCTATAGCACTGTATCGGGTTGCACTTGCCATTGTAGTAGACGTCCTTATAATTTATACCGCGGCTCTCGTACCTGTCCAACGTGTGGAACCGCCCTTCGCCTCGTAGGTAGTTGTGGATGGGGACAATCTTTTTATTCCCAAGGATTGTATCGGTCATCCTAGCGCGCTTGACGGAATCGTCTATGCCGACACCGTCCTTACCACCGCCACTGAGACCGGAATTTAGAGTAAAGACGGTGTTGCCCTCCAGCGAATCGGTCGTCAGTAGATTTGGAGCCACGATGGTGGTGGTCTTATCGCGCACTCCGTTCAACTCTGCTAAGCGGGTGACGTTAGCCTCGTCCGCGAAGGCCGCGGGGTAGAGACGCTTGCCCAGAATGCTATAGGCGACGTTGTGCGAAAAGTTTGTCTGTGACACGGACACGATGGGGTTGTTGGGTATGCTCCTTACGATATAGTAAACGGTCCTTTCACCACCTTTGGGCTTGGACATTCGCTTTATGTTACTCTCGTACTCGGCAGCCCTCTTGCGGTCTACGAAGGCGCACGTCGTATATTTCGGGTTGTTATTGCCCGCGTTGTTTGACGGCTGCACGAATCCCGTCGTATGACGAATGATTTTGTTGTTGATAATGTTGAGCTGTTGCGCCGTAATGCATGGATCTGTCAAGTTGTGAAACAGGGTGGTCGTCTCTTTATTGGGGAAGTAGAGTCTATTCTGTTTATCCAACACTTCGTTTAGAAACATGTCGACCAGCATCTGCGCCATGCTAGGCATGGTATTGCTAAAATACGTGGGATGCATTATTTTATTTATAGACTCGGGCATGTACCAACAGTTTACCCTCCCTCTGAAGCTCTACGTAGCGAACACCCCCGCATAGCGACTCGAGATGGTACATCGTCGCAGGTTCCCTTCCAAATCCTACAAAGCATAGATGCGGATATTGCACACGAAACTTGAAAGTCTCATTCCAATCGTGCGACGAATCTGGCTTGCTACTCCTGACCTGAATTTCGTTGGGGCCGTCCTTAAAGTGGACAAACACAATGCTGTTTGTCACCGAAAGGCCATAACCCTTGAGTAGGTAAAGTCGCACGCGACTCTTGCCGTTTGTCTGTTTGGTTTTAAAGTGCACGTAACCGCTCTGGCCGTTTAACCTAAAGAGCGCCTCGTTGTACGCGAAGGCGGCGTCCCTATTTTGCACGTTGAGCGCCACCATCTGAACGCCCATGGCCCAATGGACGACGGGGTCGACGTTTGAGGAAGCCATGCGCGACGGATACACTCGATTCACCGTGCGGTACGCGGGTGGTCTTTTACACGCTTCGGCGAAACTCTCGGTGTTGAATCCCTTACGAAGGAAGGTGATCTTGGAGAGCACGCTGCTCTCATCGCGAATGGTGCTGCGCACGACGAAGGTGTATATTAGATCGCACAGGTTCGGAAAGTACTCCGGACCAAACTCGGGACGATGCTTAAATATAGAGTTTGCGCCAAGCGCCTCCAGGATTAGATAGCCCACCGTGTTTTCGTTCGAGTGATTCTCGACGCTGATGATCATGGGGTAGGGAGACTTTACAAAGGCCGTTTCTCGCACGACGCGTAATACGTCTCGTAGAGACAGGTACGGTTTGATCATGGAGACCGGGCTATGCCTGACCACGGGGTTCGGATCTCCCCACACGTCTATTTCGACGCACCGGCATCCTACACCGACTATAGCGTAGGCATAGTTTTCCACCGACGCCGCACCGATCCACTGGTGACCGCTCTCTATGTACGTGTTGTGAGAAGAATTTATAAAGTATTCGTTCAGCGGTCTGGTCATGTCTCCTTTCTTTTCTTTGGACAAGACGGTCAACTCGCAAAGGCTGCCCGTAGCAGTGCGGTTTCTCGTGGAAACCTTTGCACCCATCACGTACTGGTGACTATTTTTTATAAAAATGATATCGCCTTTCGTTATTTTCGTTCTTTTAGTGTCGACCGCTCGTAGCGTTAAGGTGGACGACGTAGTGAGGTTAGCACACGCCAAACTCGTCTACCGATATCTAGAAGGCGACATCGAATTGAACGACCTGGCGAACGATCAGCTCAGAGATGTTGCTCTCACGGTAGTGCGCGTTCTCAACATGGTCGCCGTCAAGGCTATTGCTAAAACGAACGGGTCGACGACGGTGACGCCTACTCCAAACGAAACGGTAATTCTAACGGACAGGTGCAAGGTAGCTCTGGAACTGCAAAAGCTATCTCTGAGGACTCGGTGCCACTGCAACAACTATACTCGTACGGTGTCGTTGCGGCCTCCGCCGCCACTCCCCCCGCATCCTAACCAGGGCTATTACAACGCCTGTGTCGAGTCGATATTAAATTCGCCGCAGCAATCGGACCAAGAATGGACCGACTTTGAAAACAGGTACCTCTTTTTATACAACGAAATCGACTTGAAGATGCAATTGGAAAAAGAAAAATTAAAAACGATTAGCGTCGATTCGGGACAAGACAAAAGAGATAACGACACGTTGTTATCGATCGTCGGCAAATACCTCGGACTGGAAACGGAAACTATCGAAAAATACGCTTACGCTAGCGGCGGCTTTGCGTCGGCGTCCGTACTCGGCCTTTGGGCGGTCGTAAAAAAGAGATGTGGTTGTACGTCGTTTTGTTGCTCGTCGTCTACGGAGGAGGAGGAGGATTCGGAGGAAAAATTGTCGGAAACCAATTTATATACAGATGGAGAGAGTACTTTCCACAGTATAGCCTTAAAACGGAAGACATTCCCCGAAGTGCATTTTATAGGGTCGATCGAGTAGCGTTCGGCGATTTTCCGCGCGAGAAAGAATACATACTAGAGAAGATAAACGCCATCGAAATGGAATTTCCGTACGGGGATCGTACACATACCTTTTTGGAGTTTAAAAGCTTGGAATATAATATACCGTATAAATTAGTTTTTGCATCGTGCGTCTATATGGCCGTTACTTTGATGGAAGGATGTCGAAGGGAGTATCTCGACAAGACCTGTGTGGTAGACACATCCACCAGTACCACCACAGTCGAACCTTTGCAAAAGATAACGTGTCCACCTCCGGCGCGTTGCCACTGTAGGCATCGTCATAACAAAGAACGTAAGAAACACGAAAACGGTAAGGTTAGTCTATACGTACAGTGGTTAAAAGATAATAGGACCGCGTATGACACGTGGTTACAAAATAACGTTACTAAGTGTAACAATGACTGGCAACATTGGTTACAAACAAACAGAAGCTTGTACGAAACTTGGATCAGCGGTAACAAGACGCAATGTAGTCGTATGGCGCGTGATAATAGGATCGCGTATGACACGTGGTTACAAAATAACGTTACTAAGTGTAACAATGACTGGCAACATTGGTTACAAACAAACAGAAGCTTGTACGAAACTTGGATCAGCGGTAACAAGACGCAATGTAGTCGTATGGCGCGTGATAATAGGATCGCGTATGACACGTGGTTACAAAATAACGTTACTAAGTGTAACAATGACTGGCAACATTGGTTACAAACAAACAGAAGCTTGTACGAAACTTGGATCAGCGGTAACAAGACGCAATGTAGTCGTACGGCGTGTACCACTCCTAATCCGACCAATTGCGCGTCTTCATACCAGACGTGTACAAAGAGTTTAACGAGATATCAGACAGATTATTACAAGTTGGAGTCCTTTATTAGAGAGTTTATGAACGTTCGTACGTGCAAAAATAATAGACTTGCCAGTTGCCTGGCTCCGAAAAATAATAAACAATTGGCTACACGTATTCTCAAGAGCCTGAAACATAAGTCAAAGTTATGCGTAGACCTATACGCGTGCGATTCAGACTTGGTAGATCAATGGATCCACGGTAATGTTAGTAAAGAGACAAATCAGTGGTCCGCGTGGCTCAACGGGAACACTAGCCTAGTAACTAACCAATGGTCAGCGTGGCTCAATGGGAACACTAGCCTAGTAACTAACCAGTGGTCAGCGTGGCTCAAAGGGAACACTAGCCTAGTGACTAACCAGTGGTCAGCGTGGCTCAAAGGGAACACTAGCCTAGTGACTAACCAGTGGTCCGCGTGGCTCAAAGGGAATACTAGCCTAGTAACTAACCAGTGGTCAGCGTGGCTCAACGGAAACACTAGCCTAGTAACTAACCAGTGGTCAGCGTGGCTCAACGGAAACACTAGCCTAGTAACTAATCAGTGGTCAGCGTGGCTCAACGGAAACACTAGCTTAGTGGCAGACGAGTGGTCGACGTGGCTCGACGGAAACACTAGCCTAGTGACAGACGAGTGGTCGGCGTGGCTCGACGGAAACACTAGCCAAGTGACAGAAGAGTGGTCGGCGTGGCTCGACGGAAACACTAGCCAAGTGACAGAAGAGTGGTCGAAGTGGCTCAGAGGAAATATCAGCGAATTGCAAAGTATACACAACGACTTGAAAGTTCGCGAAGAGAACCTGACGCAGGAGCTGACGCGATTGAGGAAAGAGTTTAAGGCCAAAGAGCTCGATCTATCCGAATGTGAAAATATATCGAGAGACAAAGAGGTGGAATTTGCGAAAAATATGTCGACAAACTTTACCGCAACAAACCGGATTTGGAAAGCCGAATTGGACGCAAATTATACATTGACGAACCGGACGTGTATGGGGCTACTGAAGGCTCGCGACGTAGCAGCGGGTCGGATGAACGACAACAATAAAGAGCGCATAAAGAAGCTCGAGAATTTACTCAACGCAACCGAAAGTAGTCTCGACGAGTGTCTCGAGAACAGGGACAATCTCACAATCTCACTTAAAGATTGTCGGTCAACTGCGGAAGACTTTGAGCGTCGACTCAACGTCACCAGCGAGTCGTACGCCGAGTCTGAGAGGAAGCGAAAAGAGTGTCTTGCGAACGTCAGCCGCCTCGAGACCGACGTGACCGATCTCCAGCTCTCCATAGACTCGGAACGAAAGTTATACGGCACGGGCAACTCCCGCGTGGGCAATAACAGCGGCGGATTTCGGAGTTTGTGCGACGTGTCCATACTCGACAGTATAATGCATCTAAATCAACAGAAGACAAAGTGTTTGTGTAGCGAATCGAAACTGATCGAGGTGGATCTCAAGGACGACGCCGAGGTGCTGGACAACTGCCGCAAGTCTTTCGCCTCGGAGCTGGATAGGACCGTATTCAAAGCCACGTCCGTGTGTGAGTTTAGGCTGCGCGCGTTAGAGATAAAATGTAGGCAGGATTGTGCGTCGGAAAAGTACTCGCAATCTTTGAAACATTACATGTCTTCAAACTCGATCGCAGAGACTTTCGCGTCCATTCCCAAGATCGGTTTTTCGCATTCGACTTGTGCATATCCTTCGCCCATAAACATTGTACTGAGAGACAATCTCCGAGCGGGCCTCGACGCGGAACGCGCGCGCACGTCCTTCTACGTTAACGAGCTCAGAAACAAGAAGCTCTACGAAGAAACAGTCTCCTCCATGACGCAAAATAACGAAATTACGGAGGAAAGATTAGAAAAGTGTTTTCAAACTCTTAAAAATTCGGCCACGGAGTGCGATCTGCGTTACGAGAATTACATTTCCTGGTGTAGGAGTCACGTAGACGACGTCAAGCGGCAACTAGAAGATACGAATTCCGTGATGGCCGCATGCAGGCTCCGAGAGTCTTCCTCTTCTTTTTCAGAGTACTTTGACTCTGAGCTGGTACAACGAGCTTCGGAGAAGCTATTTGTAGCTCTGAGTAACTGTTCACATGAAGTGTTTCGTAACCACACAGAATGGAGCACCGCGTGGAGGATGAGCATATTTGAAAAGAAGCGACTCTTCATGGCTCACGTAAACAAGCTCGTAGACCTTCACGAGAAAAAGTACTCAGACGCTCACTTGCGCCAGGTATGCACGAATTGGACGCGGTCAAACTTTTTTCAAAAGGGTGGAGAGTATCTTGGCGTGGATCCCGACACCCTGGAAAAAGGAACGTACGGCGTCGGCATGGGGCTCGTCATGTCTGGAGGCACCGTCGCTAGCCTCAAGGCCGGCAAGTACCTTAGAAAGAAGACCGAGAAATCCAATCCCGACAAGAAAGAGGAAGAAACTAAAGAAGAACCTCAACCGTGGCAATGCAATTCTGGAATAAAATTACGCAGCGTTTTACTGTGATGGCAATCGCCGCCTTCATAGTTTGTTCCGCGCTATTATCTGCGACTGCGTACGACCTACGCGTCGCGTACGAAAACGACATGATAGTGATAGCCGAAAACGGCGAGTTATTGCATCCTACCGAGGTGTTTGTTGAGGCCAACGTTACAATGCAAAAGTTTTTTGAGGCGGCGGCCATGATTGGTCAGTTGGACTATCCGTGCAATTTCTTGCGCGGAAAATACGCGCAATTTTCGTGCTCGTGGTTGGAGCAAACGCTCGATAGATTGCGCGACTACGTGTCGGTGGTGTGCGCAGAATCGGCCGATAGTTACCGCGCCTATGTAGCCGCGCAGTCACCCATCGTTCATTTTCCGCAAGACGCGCCCCGTCTTTTGCAAGTTATAGCCGACGAGATGCGAACGTGTTTCTGGTACGACGAGGCGGGGGCCTGCGATGTCGTGCGCACACGATACTTTTCGGGTAACAACTCTTTGCGCTATTCGACGTGCGATCGGGATGGCAATGAAGACCATCTGAATCGTGGTAGAGTCTTGAGACACGAGCGAGAGTGTCGGGTGTGGGCCGATTACCTGTACGACGCTCGCAAGCGAGAATGCGGAAGCGGCATAGATACAGATGTCGACATATGGTACGGCCACGAGGCCAAGCTCAAGTTGACGGTGGATCGACTGAATGCAGAGTTGATGCGCGTACGGGCTCGCTGGAACGCGCTGCTGGACGAGACGAGCGCAAATATG